GGAGGAGGAGGAGGAGGAGGAGGAGGGGGTCGATTGGGAGATCTCTTTGGAGGTTTTATCACAATGTTTCTACCACCAGAAGGGCTCTCCCTGAAGATCTCTGAAGGAGGAACATCTGGAGGAATTTGATAGCTGCTCTCCTCTATAAAAATAGGATTTACAAACCACAGCCTGTCACTTCCTATTGACAGCTCAATTTCACATGAACAATTGTTTGTGCCACTTGCAAAATGCTGGTTAGAGGTCTTTCCTTTTTTTGCTTGGGCTGTGATGTAAGCAGGATCTTTCACAGAATAGGGAAGCCTTTTTCCTGGTCTTTGATGTAAAGAGGAGTCCCAGAAACCTGTGAATAAATAAATATAACCACATAATAGCCAACAAAAATCAGTCATGTTTTAAACCTAGTTGCATAGTGTTACTTAAAAATTAGAATTATTCTGTACTGAACTGGACATGAATAAATCACAGTGTCTCAAACTGATCACATTAATATAAATTAAGGTAAAGAGTGTAATGACATTATATGAGGGAAGGAAGTCAATGGCCTTCATGAATACATAGGGGTAGCCAGCTTTTTCCCCCATACAAGTTCCTTGGACAGGATGAGACCCATTGCTTCCAGGTCACTTGTTATCTTAATTTCAGTTAGCATGTTAGTAGTATGCCTTCATAGCCATTTGGAACCTTATTACTCAGTTTTAAAAAAGCAAAAAAGAAATTGTGTTTCAAAGGATGCCGTCAGACCACCTCATAGCAAAAATTGCTTCCTTTTTTAATGGGAGAGTGGTAATCTGGAAATAATATGGAAATATTGTGAAAGAAATATTACTTGAAGACATACGAAAGTGAGATAGATCAAACTTAGATCCATTTCTACAAGGAAGACCGTGTTTTATAAATGTTGAAGAAATGGTTGGGTGGCCATTTATCAGAAAAGGCTTAGCAGACTTTTTCTTTCACCAACAAAGAATAGATGACTTGAATTCCCTTTCAATTGCATGATTCTAAAAAAAGGTATTTCTTTTATTTCCTTTAAAGTACTAGCACTTGTCCTTGGATCTCTGGAAATGCATTTGAAGCTTCTTTCTGGATGCTTCCACCCATGCATTCTGAGAACATCATTAGGAAAATGCAACATCCAAAGCATATCTGATACAGGAAGATATGGGTCAAAGTTGCAGGTTGTTTCTTAAGATGCTTTAAAAAAAACCCTTATTCATAGGATATAATAGAACAAATATCAAATTAGCTCTTTCAATAGTTTGCAAAATCTGATGATGGCATTGCAAAGCTGTGCATCCCTGAGCTCTTGAACCCATTTTACCTGAAGACATCTCTGCTTGGATTTAGATGACCATACTTCCTTTTAGCAATAGTTTAGCTGATTCTGGGGTGGTGGGTTTATAACAGTTTAATAAATGTACATACAACCTGTTGTAAATACATCTGAAATGGGGATGGTCTATAAGAAGGGGCAAAGAAAGTGAGTTAATAGGGCTAAGAAGAGCTGTTGCTGCTCTACAAAGCTAGAAAAGGTTTGGTGCACAGAGCCCTAGGCTTCCAAAATAATCTTGCATGACTTTGTACACAGAAGGGTTCTATGCTGTCTCAAACATTGTGAAACAAACAAGAGAAATTGTATTTTGAAAAATGTAAAAGTTTCTGCATGAAGTACTCTCGAAAAGCAAGTTTCAAGGTTCTCCTGCATAGCGGCTTTTCTCCTATTCATTGTAATGGTAGAACTATTATACTATTAGATCCATTTCTAATTATACTAGAAATATTATACTATTTGAATATTTGCAGGGATTACATAATTGATGCAAGGAGAGATTTCCTGAATGACCAGCTCCATCAGCCTCTTCAGCCCTGTGTTAGCAGATATTTTTACAAAGACGTCCCACAAAGATGGGTAAAAAGGAAATCCATTGTATCACCCCTACAAAAAACCAAATCACTCTATTGTGGTGGGCAAAAAAATCAACTACCTCAGTAGTTGAGGTCGTTAATAAACTATATCAGGCCCAAAATATGAAGAAAAAACACACCAGAGACAACTCTGTCCATGTCAGGTTTGTTTCCTAATTCAGTGTTGGGGTCTTCTTCATGTTTACAACAAGCAAACCTGTACAACTCGTAGAGGGAAAGGGCCACATTGATAAATTAAAAACAACTGTGGGCCACAAAAGATTAGCTGGTGCGTGGCAGCAGTGCTGGAGCTAGTGGTATTGGGAGGCCTGAAGGCATTGGAGGCACTTGGCAGGATGTCTTTTGGGGCAGTGGTGGCAGATCCTTCCTGGTGGTGGCAACATTGGGCAGTGGTGGATTTATCCTTTTCAGAAAATGCCAGTGGGCCTGTGTTGTGCAGGCTGGCTTTAAAGGATGCCTATACTGCCACCCCTATACCGAACATAGGGGTGGGGGGCAGCAGGATGAGGAGAGATTGTGGTTTATTGCTAATGGCTTGGTTTGGTCCAAAAAGCCACACTACCAGCTCCTTAGAAATCAAAAGGGGCTCCTAACAGAGATCACTTTGCATGAATTACATGTATCAACATTTCTTACATGTATAGACAAGAGTGTCCAGCTTTGTTACATGTACAGAGCAGCCTATTTCAATTCACAAGAACTTTACTATGTATATGGAACTCATAAGAGTTGGTGATGTACCTAAAGCTTTCTAACTGAACACAGTGTTTGAACAAGAATTTGCTGCATCCAAAATGCTTTCTGCATTAGAGTGGTTCTTGTGGTGCTACCTATGACACAGTCTATTTTGTTTTATACCAGAATCTAAAGGTCCACTAACACAATTCTAGTGCCAAATAGAGGTACAGAAGTGCCTCTCCACCTATGCTCAATGCAGGGGGTTATTTGAGAATTAAAAATGAATTTACAGTTCTTTAATGGAAAAATCCACTCCCAAAGTTTCCCTAGGTACCTTACTTTAGAAAGCATACTGTAATAACAATAATAAGTCACTTTGCTAAACAACTGGGAATCAGAAAACATAGCATCCAGACATCTGCTAAGATTATAACCTACACTGTATTCCTCCCTGTCATGTATCATTGTATCATGCTCACAGATATACAGGCTACACTCACATTCTCAGAAGGTAAAGCCAGAACATTAGATGTTGCCCCAACATTACAATCCAACATTACATCTGTTAATTGGTATAATGTCTTCCAACCCAAACTTGGACAGGAAGTGGGTGGCAATATTTTTCAGTAGATACTGTTCAGAACATCATGTATAGTTGCAGTGATACAATGATCCATATAAAACTATGGATCTAGGCATCACACATTAGCAATATGGCTTTCTATTCCTAAATAAAACAGAGATTACTAACCATTACTTTGTGGAGGGGCCATAATTTTATGGAATATAGCTGCTTCACCTTTATTGCCTTCAGAGACCAATAAATCCCCAAAATAGAAAGTGCAGCCCTGCCTGAAAAAAAATTATCTATTACCTGTATAAATGTCAATGAATCCTGCAAAGGAGAATAATCCCTAATTGTGAATAAGGTTCTGTTCAGATCTTCTGCTAAGATTAAAAGTAGTGAGAGTACTTTTTAAGCTTGTTTTCTGAGCGTAGGTCAAGGAGAAACGTTCAACAGAAACTAGGTTGAATAAGAAAGATTGCATTATGTCCTGTTGATACCTTACCCTCAACCACTTCATAATCTCCAGCAGGAACTGAACAAATGAAAGTTATAGACGATATGTATTGTCAAAGGCTTTCACGGCCGGCATACGAAGGCTGGTGTGGGTCTTCCGGGCTGTGTGGCCATGTT